ATTTATAATTCAATTTTATTGTTTTATTGCACTTTGAACCGTGTCTAACTGCTATTCGTGCCATTATAAGTTGTAAATCACTCTGGGAACATGCAGCTCACGTTAGCTATCGATTTACATTAGCCACTAGCTGCTTGCGTGCATGCTTCGTGAACAATTTTAGCTGTATTATTATTACTTATTTTATCTATTCTAGTCTTAAATAACTTAAAAAGATCCGTACTTTTAATTTTAGTTACATTTATAATAATAAATAAAGAATAAATATGAAAAACAAGAAATAAAGTACTTACCCAATCTTATTTTTTCTTGCCCTCGATTGTCGAGTAGAGTTAAACCTGACTTTTTTTTTTTAGCAACTATAGTAAAGCACTTAACAATTTTTATTTACTTAATTAAGACATATGGGAAAGTCCCCCAGTGACACAGCGGTATGTCTGCGGACTTACAATGCTAGAAACTGGGTTTCGTTACCAATGGTGGGCAGAGCACAGATAGCCCTTTGTGTAGCTTTGTGCTTAACTACAAACAAACATATGGGAAAATAATTTGATTTTTTGTCTTAAATAAATATGCTTCAGAGGTTACAAATATTCTGGGTATCTTAGTAAAACAATTAATATGAGTCTGTTATTCAAAGTTAATGGTTCAAAAGTATGTTGATGCTGCTCATTCTGTTATATGTGCAATCATCAGTATTTTATCTTACTTGTAAGATCTCTGGATAGGTATCTAGATAGCACCAAGAATCACAATCAAGAACCATTGAAAAGTGATGTTATATCCATTGTACATCATATTCAGCATTAGCAAAGATTCTCAGAGATGGTCCATGATAATATGACCACATAAAATTCAATTAGACCAACATAATAGAGCCTATTTTATACACACATTTTAGCCAGATGGGTTTATAGAATCCTGAGCTATCCAGCATGCTAAGGAAATCAAAATTAGCAATTGTAGTTTAGTTTTTGCTTTTCATTTACATGTGTGTTCTTCTATTGTAAATTCCTCAAATAATGTATTCACAAACTAATTAGAAGAACAACGTCTTTCGTCTGGGAACTACATACATAGTATAAATTCCAGAAAGAACTGGTAACAGAAATGTTCTAATATAATAGATAAAAGAAATGGTTACTTTTGATTTTATGTACATCAATCCCAGCTAAGCAGAAAGGACTTTATTATTAATTGTTCTTCAGAGTCACAACCAACTCCAATAGTGGTTCTTCTTAAACATACTTACTACTTACAATGTGGTTGGTGATGCTTAGAGTTAGTCAGATAATGAAGTATTTGGTAAAGAATTAATATCTCAAATTTCTTAATCCTGGTCATTTCTGAACTGGCCTGAAACAGTAAAAATTCTGACTGACAAATACAGATGTGCCATTGTTGTGCTTTGTAATTAAATTTGTAATTAATTTATATTTCGAAGTAACAAAATAAATAGTTTACTGCCAGATGCATAGTTAAGAGTGAGGGTGTGGTATTTTCAGGTGCACTAACTAAGCTTTCAGATAGAGCAACTTCAGGTAACTGGAGAAATGGTAAGAAAAGTGTTGCACCTTAAAATTGAAAATTATGTTTGATTGAGTGGTAGAAAAAAGACTAGATAAAATGTTGAACAAAGTAAAATAAGTTTTTATTCACAACAAAACAGTGAATGAAACTGCTTTCAGATCAACAAAGAGAGGTTCCAGTTTTTAACTTTAATTGAATATATTCTGTTCTAGATTAAGAGATTATGACATTATATACACAAAAAACATTAACTCCATCCTTCTGTGAGTGTGGGTGCAACCTGTGTCACTGGTCATCTCAGTGGTGAAAATAAAGAGGACATAGCTTCCAGACAGTTCTAAATATAAACATGCTAATGTGGCTATAGAATTTATATACAAGATCAAAACGAGTTCTCCAACAGAAAGCATCAAAACATCCAAGTGGGACATGCTTTCTGACCACCATGTGTAACAAAGCACATTAAATAATGTCATTACTCTACAAAGTGGATTTTCTGTTCTTGAAAGTTCACATACACTCCAGAAGCATTTATATCTGAGAATACAAAGATAAATTATTATTTACTTTTCTAAATCATAAAAAATAAGGAAACGCTGTGCTTTAAGTACCACAAGGGTAACCAGTAATATTATCATTATAGGTTTTAGTTTTGTGGTATGTTATAGCTAAGTTTTTGTATTAGAGTTGTGATACATGACAATTATTGTAATATTGTTATATAATTAGGTTGCTTTGGATCAGAAGTTAATAATTACCTTTTGAACCTAAATCACACTCGGAAACATAAAGCTGTATTATTTTTGTATTGGCTTTAATACCAGTAAATCAACCACCACTCAACAGTCTTACTTCTGTTACAAACAATATAGAATATTTGTTTACTTTTAACCATATACACTTGTAGTACTAAAAGTGTTCTCAGTACAGTTTACACATCTTCCTACCAGTTTTAACTTTTGGTACATATAGAGGCAACGAATGGAAAATAGACCCAGTGATGTAAACTATGAATAGTGGTCAGATTGCTCAATATCTCACAGTAAAATGTCTTTATCAAGTTTTTTGGTTCATTGAACAGCTTAAACAGAAACTACTTAAGTTAATCAGAAGTCTTTTTTTTTTAAGAATATTTCACAATAAGCTCCACAGATCTAGTCAAAATTTGCAACAGCGTGTATTTGAAAATTAATGTTACATAATACCCTTTGAGTGGGGAAAGTGCACCTGTGTTGAGGTAGTCAAAGAACATTGCTCCAGAGTTAGTCCTGTTAAGACAAACTCTTAATTACAAATAAACTGTGAACCAATAGCTGCTATAAAAATGAAACATTAACACATATATATTTAATAACAGTCATTTAATGTAAGGTATGGTTTGATAAGCTTAGTGACTTGAAATATTGAATAAAAAGCCTAATAGTGAAAGGTTACATCAATATATAACTACAGATTCTTATTGAGGGTTGGCTACATGTACTAAGTTATCCTTTGAATCTTTGTATTAATTTTATTCTCTTAATTTTTATTGTTTTATTTCTTAATTTGTTTTTCATCTTGGTACATATACTAGATGTTAATTTTCATTCATGTATGAATATAGAATCATGACAACTTTTTTGTCATCGTTTTGATAGTTGCAACCTAAACATTTGTATTTCAGAATTAGTTTTTTGCTGACGAAATGTCAGGAAAAAATGTATATGTAAAATGAAAGACCAGAGTTGGATTGCTGGTTGAAAAAAGTTTCATAACTGAGAAAACACAAAAGGCATGAAAAATCATCAGAAAAAAGATAGAAAAATTGTGTAGAATGATGTATCAATAACATGACAGAAAAGTTAAAATCAAAATTGTGACCAGCAGAAAGAGTGGTGATATAAGAATCAATTATAAATGTGATCAGAACTTGTGTTAGAAAAACTAAACAGAAACATGACCAAAAAGTGCAGTGTTGGAGAAACCAAATAAGATCGTGACTAGGAAGTGGTTTTGAAAGAATCAATCAAGAACGTGTCCAGAAAGAGTGATGTTGGAAGTACCGATTAAGAAAGCTTGGCGTTGAAACATGAATGTGATTGAAAATAGTTATGTTAAATGTAACAAAAAAGAACTATTGGGAAATATAAAACAAGAACATCACCAAAAAGAATGGTGTTGGAAGTATAAAAAAAAAGAATATTATCAAACAGAATGTTTTCTGAAGAACCAAACGAGAAAGACCAAAAGAAAAGATTGGTCCTGGAAAATTAATTAAGAATGTGACTAGAAAGTGTGATGTTGGAAATGCAAAACAAAGACATGACCAAAGAAAGAATGCCATTGAAAAAATTAAACAAGTACAAAAAAGTTGAAATGGTATTGACAAGTAAGAAAATGACCAAAATCTTAGAGTGGTATTGGAAAATCAAATAGGAACATTACTATGAAGTTAAAATAGTGTTGGAAGAATCAGCTAAGAATATGTCCAAAACGTCGAAGAGGGACTGAGACAGTGTATCAGTCAGTTAAAAAAAGAATCATATGTAAGATTGACATAAAGATACATAAAGCTCTACAAAGTCACACTTAATGCTTAGTTCATCTTTATCAGTAATGTACAGAGTGCTTGTTGGAGGAATCGTGAAGGAAATGGCGTGTAAGTTTGTATGTACAATAGTGTTGAAACCTTTCACATTTCCCTCATCTTTCCAATAAACTGCGGTCACAATTGTCATGTAACAA